ACTTCTTTCTTTATTCTCTGTTGAGACAAAGAGTTATTCATTTGTCAGGTCAATAAACATTTATGGATTGCCTGTTACGTGCCAGTCACTGAAGAAACAAGCATGAATAAGACCCTGTCCCTACTTCCACCAGTTTCTGAATGGGGGCGGCTACCACCCACCTAGGGGCATTCAGAAATGTGTCCTTGTTGCTGTCGCAGTGATTGGGGGCACTACTGGCATGTAGTGGGCAGATTCCAAGGTCACTGAGCATTTCTCAAAGTGTGGGGACCTGTGCAGAGGGAGGCCCATCGCGGCTGCCCGCCTCCACCTCCCCTGCAGGTCCTTCACTGAGCGTCCAGTGGACAGAGAGAGTGGACAGAAGGGGCAGTGTCCTGCCCGCTGTGCCATGAGAGACTGTCACCCGGCCCAAGGGTGCAGCCACCTTGCACCTTGGGGTCGATGTGGCCCTTTCAGTGCCAAAGGAAAGCATCACCCCACTAAGGAGCCTCTAATGTAAAAGAAATAATATCCCCAGCCATGGTTAGAGCATAGGACCCAAGGGTTGTGGGTTCAATTCCTGGCCATGGTCAGGGCATGTGAGGGAGGCAGCTGGTCAATGAGTTTCACATTGGTGTTTCTCTCTCCCTCTCTCTACCTCCCTCCTTCCCTTCTACCCTCTCTGAAAATCAGTGGGAAAATATCCTCATGTGAGGATTAACAGAAAAAGAAATAACAAAACCAGAAGTTGAAGTAACAAAATATAAATAGCTCATGATGAAAATTACTGTACTCATTTTTATGATTAATATTCAAAAAAGGCAAGTAAAAATCATGGAAATGGCATGTCAGCTCTTTCTCGAAGGTCTTTGAGTTTATTGTTCCTGTTTGTGGGTCTATGGACAGAATTGTAGAACGGTTGTTGCATTTCTTTCCCAGTCCACCTTTTGGGAGAAAATATCAAGCGGGAAGTTTTCCCCACAAAGCCCGAGTGGGGTGGAGTGTTGGACTAGACCGGGCTCCTCACTCTGCACGATGGACCTTAGGGAAGGGTAGTTCTGGGTCGCGGGGACTGTCCTGGGCATTGAGGAATGTCAAGCAGCATCCCCGGCCTCGACCCCCTGCATGCCAGTGGCACCTGTAAGTTTTAAAAACCAAATATATCTGCAGACATTGCCAAATGCCCCAGGGGTGGGGGGGGTGCAGAGTTGCCCCTGACTGAGAGCCACGGAACCAGACCTTGCCTGCATCCCCCTCAAGCCCCGTGTGGGACGCGCGTGGTCTTTCGGAATTGAGCCACGCTGGTTCCCAGGTGTGTACAGTACAGGTTAGAAGTGTCCACGGGCACTAGGGGGCCTGTCTTTCTGATGGGCAGAGGGAACCCTGGAAGCTGCCCTATTACCAACTGGCTGTCTCAAAGGAGAACCAGGAGCCTCAGGGATGGTGACAGTCTCTCTCCCGTCTCCAGCAGGACTCCCAGGTGTGTGGGTGGTGCTGTCACATGACGCCGCTCTGTAACTCCAGAGAGAGCTGCCGGGAATTACAGTGTGTTGCAGGGAACTCTGATCTAGAGAGAAAGGAAAATCTTCTTCTTACATTACAAAAAAAGAAAGAAAGAAAAAGCAAGATAATTTTGAAGCTAGCTTTATTTAGCTCTCTTTCCACAGGAAATTTTAGACCAATTTCAAGGGCGTGTGTCTGGGATCTGGTATGCCCCATGTGGCGTGGCTAGTCCATTTTAAGAAGGATGCCACACTTGGGTCATCTATTTCTCTGCTGCTACACATCTGGGTTTCGTTGCCACCCTGTCCACCCCTGTGTGGAAGGCCTTGCATTCCCCACCCCCACCCCCACCCCCACCCCCACCCCCACCCTAGAGCTTCAGCTGCCCCTGCTGGACAGGAAAGCCCCTGGGATAAGAAACATCCGTGTGCATATGCTGGGGACAAGGTGTCTTTTCCTGACTTGCACCCGGCTTTGAGTGTGCACTACTTGGAGTCCCCAGGAAAGGTAGGCTGTGGTGGGAAAGATGGAGCTTCAGACAGCTTTTTGGGAATTTGAACAAGAATGGCAGAACTACTGCCCCAAACACGTCACCGCCCACCCTAACACCCAGCACACAGAAAGGGATACTGATAATCAGTTGAAATAAAAAAAACAACACACACATAACTTATTTCATTTTCTCTGACTATAAAAGAAGTGAAATAATTCCTGATTTTATTGTTGGGGTGAATCTGAGAAATGCGTGGATGGTCTTTCTCCATTGCTAGTGGGAGTGGGGTATCTCCTTCCCCATTGGGTGCTAGAGGGCAGATCCTTAAGATATCTTGAGAAAAATAATTTTCTGAGACTCGCACAAGAGGATGAGTGACTTTTATTTGTGTGGAATTGCGTCTCTGGCTTCCAAATCCCATTTCCCTTAGTCCAGTCCACAAGATGTGCGGCCGTGGATCCAGCAGCGCTAGAAGCAAAGCCGGTGTCCACAGCGTCCCTCCGCGCTGCAGCCGGCCCAGCTCAGCCTCAGGCCAGTCGCAGTCCATCAGCCCCCTGTGTGGGTCCGCGTGGCCACGGGCCGGCCATGTGAGCGAATCAGGTGTGTGAGAGCCTGCAGTCCCGGAGCCCAGGGCGGCAAGAGCAAGAGGGCCGCTGCTTCGTGTGGGAGCTTAAGTATCTGAGATCTTCCTGCGCTTGCAGTGGCCACACCTACTCTGGCCAATGACCTGTCCCCAGATGTTACTAACACGCAGGTACCTTCCCTGTGTCACCCAGACCTTGCTGGGCATGTACGCCTATACTGCAGCTTCCTGGCAAAGATACACAAATGACAGTAATATTTGGCCCTCTCTTTGCTACTTTCCTCTTACGAATATTCAACGCTATTAGTGGTAGTTTGTTTTCTTTGGGTGCTTACCCTTTACCACCACTATGCTAAACACTTTATACAGAAGATTTTAATTAGTCATCCCCCAAATCCTGTGTAGTGAATTCTGATATCATTCCCATTTCCTAGATGAGGATATTGAGGTTTTGTAGGTTTAAAGGGCTTGTAAGGTCCCACAGGTCTTACGGAGCAAGGGTTTAAGTCAGATATCTCTCTTCTAGGAGACTTAGCTCCTAAATACCATGCCTGCAACAGTGGTTCTCAAACTCCAGCACAAGTCGGGATCTCACAGAGGCTGTGTGAGAAGACCTCATGCCCTAGTTTCTGATTCTCAAGTTCCCAGGTGATGTTGCTGATACTGCTGGTTTAAGGACCGCACTTTGAGAACCCATATTAGACCACATCCTATTTGCTAGAAAATAGTGTAAGCACTAACTTTGGAAACCTTGACTGAAAAGGACTGAGGTTGAAATTGACTGCTGACATTAGACCTGTGTGTGGATAGGTAACAGGCAGTGTTTCCAGAGATCCCTGCAGAGAGGGTGGTGTCGTGAGACGGGGCAATTGTCCTGTTGTAGGTGTTATCCTGGTATTCCCTGGGCTGTTGGCATTTCTGAGAATACAGTTGCACTACATCATTAAAAAAAAAAGAAGAAGTGTACCACCACCATTCACTTGTACAAATAGGCCATTTTTTGAAGTTCAGTAGTTTTCCATTAGAATTACATTTCTTTTTCAAACTATCCTTAGTTTATTTTCTTTTGATTCAGTAAGACCTGGTACATTCTGATTCTGTCCACACTGTGTCATTATCTTGGAGAATATCTTCAGAATGCTAATGAGCACAGACAGCAGACTTACTGTGAAGGAGCCACAGAGCTTGGGTCCTAGTAACAATTGAACAGAAACTCTCAGGAAATGTTATTAGTAATAAAGAGAAGTAAAAAGGAGTAAAAGAAGAAATCTCATTTTAAAGTTTCTTGATTGTGGTCACTGAAAACAGCAGGCACTTTGAGGACAGATTTCTGTGTTCTTTTGACTGATTGAGTTTCACTTGAGTTAGAGTTCCAACTGTACATTTGAAACCTGAAATAAAGCTGACTTACTTGTCGACAATCTGTTGTGCAGCCTTCTGAGCTAGGGCAGGAGAAAGGCTTCGGCACCTGACCTTTCTGTCCCTACTGGCAAAGCTAACAGCCCAGGTGTGAACCTGCCAGGAAAGTAAGGCCGTGGTTTTGCAGGTAGGTTCAGGATGGCCAGCACCTGGAGTGGGCTGCTTTTGCCGTGAGGACTGTTACGTGGTCTACAGGACTGAAGTGACACGCAGGCTACAGAAAACAAAGGCTGGGGTATGTGGGATGAAATTTTCTGGCTCCCCTTCCCAAATGTCTGGGGCAATATCAATACCGGGTGGAAACTTAAAAAAACACATTAATTATCTGGTGACTTCGTGAGTGGTGGAAGTTTCCTGAGGTTCTGAGTCAAGAATAAACTAGCTGTGGAGGTTTGGGCTGGCAGCTACTGCTAGACATGTCCAGAGGCTGAATTTTCCAGAATCAAACCAAGGTTTCTTTCGTGAGCTTCAGTTTCCCAGCAGAGAGTGGCTGGACGTGACCTGCTGGAGAGCAAGCAACCCGGTCTTCCCCAGAGCTGACTGCTTCATAGGAATTAGCCCAGTGTTGGTGCAGGGAGCAGCCCCCTGGCTGGCAGCAACAGGCAGGTTATCTTTTTGGAGACCCTCAAATTAGGAGCAAAGGCAGACACTGTTGCTTTGAGACTGGCATCTCCATCTCCTGGCTCCAGCCCAGCCAAGGAAACATTCATGGCTGTTCCCCCAGGAGTGGGGTCCAAAGGGATGCTAGGGAAGATTTTTTGCTCCTGCATCTGTGGTTGCCCAGGGATATTAATCGTTGTGAAGAGCCAGATGCCTAGAAAAAAGGAGGGTACTCCCCAAAGCAGATTAGGAGACTCGGGCTGGTGTGTGTGTGTGTGTGTGTGTGTGTGTGTGCGCGCGCGCGCGCAGGACGTGCAAGCCGAGGGCGCTGAGATGCAGCTCTCCTCCTCGCCTGCAAAGAGTTGCTCCACTCCGCCCCCTGCCCAGCGCACTGGGGGAGCGCCGGGGGAGTCCTCGCCGGGCAGGGCTTCCCGCGCCCGGGAGCGCCGAGGGCTCGCCTGGCGGAGCTTAGTGCAGCTTGCTCGGCGCAGCCCGCGGGCGGGGTGGACACTGGGCTTCTGTGTGCCGGCAGCAGCCGTTGGTTGGCGGCCGCCCAACCCTGGGGCATGCCCCCGGAGCCTGGCCAGCTCGCACGGTGAAAGATCAGTTTGGTGCAAGGTTGACCCTGGCTGCTGGCAGAAGCCGGCGGCGGAGCCCAGGTGCTGGGGACGCTGTGGTCGGCTCGCGGGGCTGCAGCTGCGGGGGCCGGGCACCCCGGGCTCCGGGAAGGAGGAGGCATGGCCTCGGTGTTCATGTGTGGAGTGGAGGACTTGCTGTTCAGCGGCAGCCGCTTCGTGTGGAACTTGACCGTGTCCACGCTGCGGAGATGGTACACAGAGAGGCTGCGAGCTTGCCACCAGGTGCTGCGGACGTGGTGCGGGCTGCAGGACGTGTACCAGGTAAGGCAGGGCACGCGGCGCGCCGGGGCCCGTGGGTGCCAGGCGCTCGTGGGAAGCCGGTTCCACCTGTATGATTTTATTCTCTCTCCCTCCATCTCTCTCTTTTTAAACTCCTATCGGGCTGCCTGACTCTTGCGTCAGATGCTCAGCAGCTATGGGTAGCTGCTGCCTGATAAAGCTGTGAATTTTCCCCGGAGGGCATGGGGGCACCTGTGAGCCAGCCTTAGCGTTTGCAGACCACTGTTGTAGAGTGACAGTGTGCAGCCGGCCCGCGGCTGAGAAAGCTGTGGCTCTGCAGCTCAGGTCTGCAGGAAGCAACCCTGACATTCAGGTGGGCGCTTCTGTTCTGTTTCAGGAGCAGTGACTGCACACTAGTTTGGTCGGAGGAGCATTTTAGTTCAGTTTTCCTTCAGGCAGCCCCAACTCGGAGGCAGAGCCAGGAAAAGCTGATTCTGTGTCGACTGGGTTTGGAAGGGAGGACAGAAACTGTGAACACTTCGCAGGAGGATGATGGGCTGGGAAGGGAGGGGTGGCCTGGCTGACCGTTGAAATGCTTACGTTCCCTGTCACACAACACAGCCTCTTTATTTCTGCCAGGTCCCATCCTGCAGGCAAAAACCACAGCAACTTTATTCAGCTAGGAGATCGTACATCTTCTCTGGAACCACAGCTTCCCGAATTTTTTTAAAAGCAGTCATTCGTGGATTTAAAAGTCCTGTGCTTTGGTTGTTAATGTCATTGAGATTTTTCAAAACTCTACATTGCATTTAAGAAGATTATGCCTGAGGTTTATTGTCGGAATAGAGCATCACGTTTTCTTTCCTGTGTAATAGAGTTGTGGCAGTTCCTGAATTCCCCCTGCCCTGGCTCCATTCCCAGTATGGCTGTAATTTATATCTCGCCCGGCTGAGCCCCATGTGTGATCAGGCCACTGGTTCTGACAAGCTGTGGTCCTCCATCCATCCAGTACAGTGAAAAGACCAGCAGCACCTGCATGTGGGCATCTAAAGAATCAGAGCCCCTTGTCATCCTTGACATCTGTGCCATCCTTGCTCAAATACGAGGGACATTCTGCTTTGTGCTTTCATGACTCCTGCTTTGGATACCATGTCTGCAATGTCTTGTATTTTGAAAGAATCCAAAAGCCAGGTTGAGAGCTGGGGAAGCATGTGGGGGTTTGAGAGTGTCAGGGAGGTGTGGGTGCACCCCATCTGGCCATGCACACTTCAGCTGGCTCTTTGGAGCCAGAGGTATGTCTGCCTCTCCTGGGGGAAATCATTGTTCACTTTGGTCTGTATGACAAGTGACCCTGATTTAGTTTTGTTGTTGCCTTTTAATGTTTGAAAAACTTTCAAAAGGAGAACACAAGTATTGTTGCCAGCCAGCCAGCCTCCATGCCTCTCGCCCCAAGGATTCAGGAGAGGTATGGATTATCTCATATACTGTTAGTGACTAATTCAAAAATGAAAGTTCCAGAAACCTGAGACCCAATGGATTCTTAATAATCTTTTAAAGTAGAACAGTAACTTGAGGGACTAACCTACTAAACTATACGTTTTCTCTCTTGTAAAGTGGATGGTGATTGTGCCAATACCCTCTCATAATGATAGGGAAGAATCTCTAAAATAATGATGCCCTTTTTATGAGTCATAAGTAGAAAATGATCTCTAAGTTTATATAGATATATTTGGGGGGAGGAGAGAGAGAAAAAAAAAACAATTATGAGAAAAAACCATTGATCAGCTGCCACTTGCTTGCCCCCTACTGGAAATTGAACTCATAACCCAGGCATGTGCCCTCACTGGGAATCAAACTGGTGACCTTTTGGTACACAGGACAATGCTCAACCAACTGAGCCACACCATCTAGGGCAAATGATCTCTAAATTTAAAGTTGCCTATGTCTTTAGAGAAATACAATTTTTAAAATATTTTAAAATTTTGATAGAACCAGAGATTTCTTCATTGCACAGCATTGTTCATCGTTAGCAACAAAAGACCATTTTCTCCAGTGCCTTTGAAATACCTAGCAAGGAAATAGTGACATTAATGTGTAGAACTGAAAAAAAGTAAAATGATTAATACCTTCAGCTCTAGATTACATAGACATAGGAGTGAACCCTACCTCTGCCTGTGTATGACTGGGTAAAGTTACTTAATCTTAATATGCTTCAGTTTCATCATTTATACAATGGGAAATGTAATAGTACTAACTCCAGACATTAAGAGAAATAATGTGTGAGATATTTAGCATCGTGCCTAGAGTTTAGGAAGCATTCAATAAATGTCTATTCTGTCAGTTAGAATTTATTTATTATAATAGGAAAGCCAACTCAACTAACTTATATAATGAAAAGAAGGGACTTTTGACACAACTGAAAAGTCTAGCAGTAGAGTAAACTTCAGGTATGGTTTGATCAGGACATCATGCTTATTCCCCATGATTCTTTCAACCCTGTCTTATTTGTGTGTTGGCTTTATCCTCTGCTGATTTCTTTCCTCAGGATATCAGATAGCCACAGCAGTTTCACATACCAACCCATCCAGATACAGAATTCCTCAGATTTGCCAACTATCTAAAAAAGTCCACTATGTACTCTGATGGGTAAACTGAGGCTCTGTGCCCACCCCCAATGCCATGCACTGATTGGCACAGGGAATAGGATTATAATAAATGCATTCTCAATGAGAGTGATATGGTCCCCAAAAGGCAAAATAGTTTCCAAAATAGGAGGAGGCAAAAAAAAAGCCCTTACTCCTTGTATACAAATAGCACAGATATACATTACATAAACATATACAGTACAGTCAGTCATCCGTCGCCACTTTGCGCTTCGACGTTCGCGGCTTCACTCTGTCGCGGTTTTCTCAAATATATTCATTGAAAAGTTGATCGAGACGATGAGAATGATGCAGCGCGTGCTCGGTTGTCTGAGTCAATTATACACCCTGTGTTATAATTACAATTAAAATTACTGTACGTGTGGACTGTGGGCCTATGTATTCGAGCACCCCAGAATCCTTCAACGCCAGGTGCAACCGCTCGAGTCTGGAACAGATTGACCGCGATAAGGGAGGGACGACTGTATGTCTGTGGCATTAGAATATAGGATGGGGGGACTAGATAAAAAAAAAACTAAACAGGCTTCGTAAGGGGCTGATGGTGAATAAAAACATTTGGAAACACCAAACTGTATTGATTGGTTTAAGCCCGTAGAGGAGTGGACCCATTTTTGAAGCTGGGAGTGAGGCTGGCCCCCCAAACCACATAGTTGCCAAGCAACAGGCAGGGTCAGTGCTTGGCTGAGATGCAATCAGCAATGTCCACTGCAACTACATTATTAGACTCAAATCCAGAACTCTTTACATAGAATGGTTATTTCTCAAGCTAAGTGCAAGGACTCGTGCACAAATACTTTGTGAGCATTTTGCCACAGTCATTTGAGTGGAGGAGGTGGGACCACTCATGAGGAAACCCGCATTGCTGGCCCATCACTGTGGACTCAGCCTCAGAGGGGGTGCTCCGTCGTGCGCCCAGCTCTCCGCCTGTGAGCTAGAGGCACACACCAGAGTTACACGTTTTACTGAATCCAATTTTTTTTATCATCTTGATAATAAAAAGGTGTCATTTTTCTTGCTTCTTGTCTGAATAGTTTTGTTTGTAAGAAAATCCAGACCTCAATCACTCTAGAGAGAAACCAGGGTGGGGTGGGAGATATCCATTACATGGATACCTGGCTGCCCCTGGCTGTTTTGTTTATTCATATACTATAAGTGAAATGGGATCTCTCACCTATTCATAAGGAATTTGGCAGTGCCAAGAAGGCATCATTTCTTTGGAATTGAACGCTTCCTCCTCTTCTAGATATTGGAGAGGCAAGTGCCTTGATTTGCTAGTAACCATGAATAATTAAGATACTAGCTATAAGGTATTTCTGTAGTAATGTGAATGAATTGAAAGCGAACTGAGGCTGCACTAGCAGCCTTTTAACAAAGACTGACTTTGTGAGTGAAGCTTTGAATTAGGTTAAAGTTGCAGACATGGGGTATTCACCTTCTATTTCAGGCTAAATTCTAAAAGCTGATTTGTCTGCCATACATCTGTCCTGCTTATATCTTGCCTGGATGGGTTGCATTATAGCTATTAATTAGGTTTAATTAGCAATTAAGGTGGGAAATGATGGCAGAATGTTTTTTTAAAAATATCAACACCCTGCTTTTTATTAAGGGTTGACATGTTCTAACAAAACCCTCAGTTTGTGACTTGGGATTAAGTTTTCTCTTCCTCCCCAAATGTCTCAAAGGTAGAATTTCATACAAACCCTGAATGGAGTCATTGCCTCCAGCAGGAGGCAACTTGGCCAGAATCCAGGGCAGTCATGTGGCCTCGGAGGCCGGGTCAGCTCCCCTGAGGCTGGCAGCTCACACCGAGTGGTAGCTGGCTGTGCAGAGCCGGCAGAGGCTATGGACTCAAACTTGAGCAAGCTGCTTTCCTTTCTGAGCCCCATTTCCTCCTGGGTTAAAGGGGAGAACTGTAGTACCTGCATTCGGGGGTAGGGTGTGAAATTCATTAGATAACACTGAGCCCCCTGCCTGGTACAAACAGATGCTCAATAAATGTTAGCTCTTGGTTACGTAAAGGACTTAACAGCAGATCTATAAAAGGTACCTGATAAAGGGCAGCTATGGGCATTAGCCATTGTTTTCCCAAGTGAGTAGTTCTCTGGACACTGAGTTCCCATGTTTACATGTGATGATGTTCAGTAAGAGGGCCTGGAATTTCCACAGCAGTGTATGTATTGTGCACCTTGGTATTTGGACTTGTGTTCTGCACAGTAGGCCCACATTGTCTCTAAGCCCATGCTAAGGAGATAACCTCTCTGTGTGCAAGGCTCTGGTGATTCATAAACTGGTAACACCTGACCTTCGCATCCCATCACATTGGATGGGAACGACCAAGTCCCCAGAGGGCAGCCTCGCAGAGTGTTCAGTGGCATTTCA